TTGACGATCTGCAAATAAACCATCAGAAGATTTTAATTAGGAAAAGCAGACGAATGCATCGCAGCGCACCCCGTTTCTCGTTTTTCCTACAATACACAAAATAAGTATTAATCAAATCGGAAGAATTTTAGATGTGGAAACTAGTGAATATTTTATCGGTTGGATTTTATTTGCGATGAATTTTGGATCTTGATAAAAATGCGAGATATCTAGGTATGGGGAATCAATGATCTATACCAATATTGCTTATTGCACCTCGATTATAGCAAATATTAACTGAAATTAGAATTTAAGGAAAACTGAAAAGGTAGAAATGAGTAATGATTATGGTAGCTAGTTAAATTTAAAGTTTAGCAAGTCATCTAAATTATAAAAGAAAAACTTGTAAAGTTTTGTTTTCATAAAATTTTAAAGTTTATCATATAAATTGACATTTACAAAATTAATTCTAGCTGTGATTAAGCTACTACTTAGTAAGGTAGTAACTATATATTTACTACATAGTCACTTTGCAGTTACTGCGTATTAAGAAACCAAGTTCTGTAAAGATTTTTACAAACTGTTTTATTATTATTTATTAAATTGAATTTAATTTAAAGTAAAACGTATAATTAAATACTGATTTCGTCGGTATATATTTCCTTATAGGAAATCGGGTGGAATTAATCTCTGTTATAGTTATTCTAGTACAGTTGGTGTTGTTGCTCTCATAAATGAGCTATACTTTTAAAGTGATGAATCAAACAAATATTTTGTTGCGATTTTTTACAATTAAAATTTGAAATATGGGAATTGCATTCATAATAAAGTCAATTATTTTACCAATGGAAGTGTGTAAATTAGTTGAGGTACGCAAAATATGCAAAATTTTCTTTAAAGCTAAAAGGAGAAAATTAGGTTTTAAAATAAATTTATTGCTAATTGTATATTCGATTTTAGGGACAACGTTATAATCGCGCATTGAATGAGAGGCAAGCAGCAGATTTCATGAAATTTTCTTGTAAGACATCCCGTGTCCGTGCAAACAAAATTAGACAACGTTTAGATATTTTTAATTATCGAGAAACGAGTATATGAGGCAATTCGGTTTGAATGTATCTGAGGAAATGGCTGTAGTTCCAGCCAGAGTTTTACCTGCTCCAAGTTTACATTATCATATTTCTTCTCGTAATGCTACCATTGTTCCTCGTGACGGGAAATGGAATTTGATTTACAATAAAGTTGCTTCTGGGGCCATACTTGATTCATGGTCATGCGTTGCTTTTGGAAATTTCGAAATTGAAACCATACAATATTTTATTAGAGAATTGGTTACTAAATTTCAGGCGCTGGATTGAATATCCTTAATAAGTATCTACCTATTACGCAAGGTAATCTTCTAAGTAGTATTGAACAGACCTTGAAACAAGACTGGATTAGAGCTGGCAATATGGCCAGATCACCATCTAAGTTAATGTTATGTATCCTTCCTAACTACAGCGTACCATTTTATGCCGTAATTAAACATGTGTGTGATACAGTAATTGGTGTTGTTACCCAATGCGTTCAATCCAAACATATTTTTCAAGTAAAAAGACTATATTGCGCTAATTTGTGTCTTAAAATGAACGTTAAACTTGGTGGTATGAATTCATTCGTTAATCCGTACCAAATGCAATTTATTTCGAATCGCCCGCATAATAATTCTGGTAATAACGAAACTCACCCATCTATTGCTACTTTATGCGCTTTAATGGATGCTAAAATATATCGATATGCCGCTTCCATTCGCGTTTGAGCAGATAGACAAGAAATCATCTTAGGAGGTATGTAAGGGAGCTATTGAAAACCTTCTACCCGACTTGTGGAAGGAAGCTGGAAAGTATCTTGTTCTACCGAAATGGTGTCTCAGAGGGTCAATTTTATCAAGTGTTTGATTTTGAAATCGAAGCAGTAAGGAGGAGTATGTGCCATATTTTCTAAAGTAATTTGTAATAATTGAAATTTATAAAATACCCACCTTTATTTTCATTTCTTAATAACAGATGCATGTACAGCACCTGAAGCTACTTATAACAATCAATCACCTTTGTAGTTGTACAGAGAGGTCGTCACACTCGCTTATTCTCTAATGACGTGAGAGATTTAGATAGGATAGGAAACACTCTTGTTGGGACGGTTGTTGAATCAACACATCCTTTTGAATTCAATGTTTATCTTCAAAGCCACCACATTACAACGCAAGGAACTCTGCATCTAACACATTATTACTTATTGTATTATGAAAACTGATTTGATCCCGATTCACTTCAAACCTTATCATACAACATGTGCTATACATTTGCGCCAAGCACACATGCTGTTTCTATTGTTCCACCAGTGTATTATCCGAAATTAGCTTGTTCTTGGGCTAGGGATTCATTCACAAGGTGAAAATTGGGATATAATTTCAGAATGCCTTGATTCTGTATCAACTGATGTTAAGGTGAAACCTGAATTGCAAAGAGTTATGTACTTTATATAGAGAAGATTAAGCAAAATTTTATCGGTCCATGAATCGCATGGATTTATCATAAATTTTGGGATTTATTTTAATGCTTAGAATTTTTTGAGGCATTGTATACTTTACTAAAATCGGTAAATTTTGTATATGCAATTATTAGCCAATAATATGCGTTATTTAGCACATTATAACCTATTGAATTAATAAATTAGGAATCTGACTTTAAATTATTAAAATATTAACAACATTTAAGGACCATAAAATAGCTTATATTAAGCTTATAGTATTTGTATACTTTTATTAACATACATAACATCGAAACTAATTTAATAGCTAATTTAAATCATTTTATTGTGATTTTTTATTGCGCCATAATGACTACGCCAGATTTATAATATAAAAGGTTGATCAATTGTTTAAATAATTGAATTTTATCTTTGATTTTTTTTTTAGTAACTTACCTTTAATTATTTCGTTAAAAAAGTTTAAAATCAAAAAAATGCCACCAAAAACAAAAATCTCTCGTAAGTATTAATTTCTTAGTTTTATAAATACCTTTAACTGTTTTCTTTACGATATTGATATTACACCAATAGATTTAGTTCCTCCTGAACCTTTAGCTGCTGATTCACCAAAACCAAAAGAACACGAAAATCAAAAGCTAAAGGTAAATATTTTTATATTCTTAATAATGATGTTATATTAAAACATTATATACCAAATAATTATTTATACTTATATTTTATTAAAGAAAATATTGAACCAAATTTGGAAACTGAACTTTCAAGATTGCTAGTTATTTCAAATCAACCGAAACTTACACAATTTGATCAACAAGCCTTTATTGAACATTAGCAATAATATTGCTCTCCTATAGAATGCGAAAACCAACAAAATTATTTTGAAAAACAAAGTTCAAAATGTACTAGATTTTCAAATACAAAGATCTAACTACAACAAAGTTGAATTTTCCTTTGCAACTGATACTTATAAACATAAAGTGCTATCACCTTTAAAACCAAAATTTCAATTAATTGCGCCTGATTTTTCAGATGAGGAATCATCAGATGATAAAATCTTTTCTTCAATTGGTTTACATAACAAAGTTCAATTGAAAAAGGTCCTTTGGCTACTTTATCACCTATGGATATTAATGTACCTAATATTTCTCATCCAATTACTAAACTGAACTTAGCAACCAAACTTGATACAACAACATCATCACAAAATAACCTTTCTTTTCAAGATAAAACTCATCTTATTCAATGGCTAAAAATGCGTAAAGATCTTATACTTCAGGCATTGAATGCAATTTTTTCATCAGATATATCATATTAGCCTGTTACATCAAATCAAGTTAGTAAATATTTTTATTATTTGTTTCAACAAATATCAATATTCTAATGTAACAATTATAAATTCTTTATAAATTAGATTTCTACACTTACAAATAATACTCCTAATTTGGCACGAGTACTTTCTGAACAATCGAAAATTTTATTTTTGCAAACTCGAATGCCAACAAAAAGAACTCGCACATCGTTAATTAAAAGTGTTATTCAAACTCATTTTTAATTACATATAATGATGATATAGCCAAATTGGCAAATCAGTTGATTCGGAAAGAAAGGTATTATAGTTGTTTTTTTTGTTATTATTATTTATAATTATATATAAATATTTACTTATATTATTTTAGCAATCCATCTGATATTGATATTGAAAGATTTGTTGGTGGAACTGTATGAGAAAAGCCACTCAAAAACACATTGATATACTTGATTATGATACCTTTAAAAATCACCAATTGGGAATAAAATCATTAATTACTTTTATTGAAAATAAATTAATTCAATTTCAATATGTAAATTTTTGATTTCTTTCTTATCTTTTATAAATATATAAATATATAATATTATAAAAGAAAATGACTTTTGACATATATCTTGTAAAATAAAATAATAAATATTAAATCCAAAATTGTATTTTAATATCTAAAGGTTCTATGTGTTTTGCCATTCATCAAAATTTTACCACCTATTAAAACTTTCGCAATTTTGTCTTTAATAAAATTATTGGCAAATGTTTCGACGGGTTTCAATTACAATGCCTGTTGAAATCTCTGGGTTTGCTCAGCAACCTTATAATTATATGAAGAGAAATTTTTAATATTCAATAATTAAATTAAAAAAAAAAAAGTTTATTATATTTAAATTTTCATTTTATGACACTGCTGCTGTTACTATGTATTGCGGTAAATTCGTGTGTGATATACAGTACATATATTTTCATTTACTAATTGTTCGTCCTATCGATATTTACTATGGAGTTGAATTTTCTGGAAAATTTTCAATATTTTGTAATACCTGGTATATATCATTTGAAATCATACTGGAAATGTTATATTAATGAAATTTATATTTTCAAAAATGTTGTGATCCCTCGAAGAAATTTATTTCACATTCAAACAAATAAAAATTTATTTTTATTTAAATAATTGATATTTTTAGTATACTATTAACATAAACGTTAACAAAAGTTTTAACTATTCATGGCATGGTTAAAAAAAGCTTAGTTAAAAAACATCTTGAAACAACATTCACTAATATTGGTTATTATCATTATTATGATATTTTGAGGCATTTGTAATAGATGCATATTATTTGTTGCATTAATCAATATTTGAAATCTTGATGTCATAAGTTTGTAAATAATTTGATTTTCGTAATGCAATATTATTTCGATGTATGTTCATATCAACATGTATTTTACGACCTTTTTTCGTTGCTTTTTCTTAATTTGTTATTTTGATAAAATAAAATTGTTTTTAAATTTCTATATTTTAAACATTTAGTTATTAAATATGAATTATTTAGAAGCTTGATGCAATATTATATTGTATAAAGTTATTAGATTGAAGGAAAAGAAAAAGGTTACTAAGAAATTGTTTATTTTATTGTTGGTTCTTTTTTTATCACAGGTGTTAGTAAACCATGAAATATATTACCGCTCAATCATCGATCTCATAGGAATCAAATATGGAATGTTATTATATAATCATTATTGTTAACAGATTCTTTATTTTTCAATAGGGATGTTAAATTTCAGTCCGGTCCCGAAACTCCCAGTCCTAAATAAGACCGGTCCTATAGAAATTAGAACTTGCGGTCCTAGGACTGCGGTCCTATAGAAAAATAATCGTTCAAGAAGAACGATGACCGAATCGTTCGACTTGAATGATAAAAGAAATAATTGTACAAGAAGAACGATGACCGAATATTTCGACTTGAACGATAAAAGAAATAATCGTTCAGAAGAACGATGAGGAATCGTTCGACTTGAACGATTATTTTTCTATAGGACCGCAGTCCTAGGACTGCAAGTCCTATTTTCTATAGGACCGCGGTCCTAGAACCGCAGTCCTATAGTTCAAAGGACTTTGAACTGGACCGGACTTCGTAGGACTGTTTTGGACCTAGTCCCATGGGACTTTTTAACATCCCTATTTTTCAAGAAGCAAATTATTTTTACGATTCTCAAATCGTCATCAGACCATCTGAGTTTAATAGAACTTCTCATGATTTGAATACTTGTTACTTATAAAATTCAGATAAGCCTTCTTGCCAGGTACCTGGTCCAAAATTTTTCTATCTCCCATCAAGGATAACAAATGGAATAAATAATAAATTAAATTATACGTTCGCAATTGTGAATCATAATAATTAAGAAGAATAAGCCCATATTAAGTTAATGGACGAATTTTCTTGAGAGCGACAGTGACATTCGCAAAGTTATCAATAGAAGTCTCAAAACGCTTTGAAGGGCAAGTATTAAAGAAATGTGTTAGCTTTCCTTGTAGAATGTCAATCTAATTAAATGCGAAATGATTTAACAATTATCTCTTGACACAGTGTTGGCAAGTGACCTGAAATGACTAAAATGACTCAAATATCTGGTCATGTGAAATTTAGGTCATTTCAACATTAAATGAAAAATTACCTAGTCATTTAGAATTATATCATGTGATCTAAATAATTCTGGTCAAAATTATTAATAATTTAATTTTTCGATGTTTTCAATAAATATTTCACGCATGTGATATAAAATGGTCCTGATCTTGTAGTATCATCATAATTAATTTTTTGAACGAACCTAGGTTAAACTTAGCTCAATACCTTCCGGAAGTATAAGGTAACGTTATTTTTAGTTATATCCTTTTCATCTTTTAGTGGTATTATTTATTCGGATTCGATCGCTTCGCCGCAATTATCGATCATCTTTATCATCTTTTTTAGGTACTTGAATCGCTACCGAACATCGGGGTGGTGGTGTTTGAAATACGTCTCAGGCAACCCTAATTTAATCCAAATTTGTACTATTTGTAACATAATCAATTCTAAAATTAGTAATTATGTATAGCTTTATTACTTAAATTTAATTCATAAACATGACACTTCATATCGTCTTTTTTTTAAATAATTATAATTACTTATGCGAATCCATCTTTCCTTCTATCAACCATTTTCTTTTCATCTGCTTATTACAAAAATAACTTCTTAATAAATTTGTCATTTGTAAGTATTTATAATGAAACTAAAATGTGTTTATAATAACTTCAACAATTGGAATTTTATTCATAGAAACTTTCTGAAGAAAAGATTCTACGTTATCTTTGGTTGGAATTTTCTAAAAGAAAGGAATCAAAATCAAATTATTACTAGCGAATTAATTACTTATTGCGTAAGTGTAAGTTGTTTCATTCTTGTCTTTCCTTTCCCTTCAAAGTATTTTTTATTTTCTCGTTTGAATATTCATTTGATGGGATTTCCTTCGTTGTTAATACTAGGTAAAAAGGCTGTAATTAATCATGATGCTAGCTGCTTCTTTTTTTTTAAAAAAAAAAATCTAATTTTCTTCGCCAACAAATAAAATAATGAGTTTTAAATTCTCGCAGCCAAAGCAGCACAAACGCCTATATCCGATAATTCGTAAAATTTGACTAATATTACATTGCACGCTTACGCCCATTAATACTAAGCGTATTACCAGTTTCTGGTATAAAACTTACTGTTACTCACTATTATCAGGATGTAAATGGTTGAATTTTGTGCAAATCTCCCAAGCATGACGTAATTTAGTCTAAATTCTAATACTAGCTTGATAGATAGTAAGAAAACCTTTTTTAAACATAAACAAAATCAAAATCAATTATTTATTATGTTTAAAAAAATAATGTGTAAATAATATAGCAGACCTTATTAACCCGAGTTTAAACCTGGCTTGATTTCACACCGACATAAGAATTAATCAACATGTTTAACTTCATGCCTGACCTGACAAACATTTACATTTCCGATATAAATAACTACAACATTCGCTTCAAATATTACCAGCATTTCATGCAATCAGTTACCAAAAATACCTATACATTTCTTGACTATATAAAAATCTTATTGGCAAAAACCGTTGAAACTCGAAATTATAATAAAATACCGTCAAAAGTCAAAACTATATTATTAAGGTCTTATTAAAAATCCGTTGAAATATAGGGTTTCGACTTTTGCCATTTGCTAAAATGAGTTTTGCCAGGCAATTATATTCAGCCCTTTAGTTTCGTTAATTATGAAATAAGCTTATACTTCAGTGTTTCATTATCACCGTCAAAATTATCTTCTCGTTAAAAATGAAGAAATGATATAGCACAAAATTATTATGATGCAAAATAGTTATCTCAAATTACCTCTAACTGTTCAATATGCGCTTCGGTGTTGATTTGACACTTCCAGCCGTTTACAAGAAATCTCTTATGGAATAACTCGAAATATAGGTAAATGTCAAAAATATTATATTTGAATTAAGAGGTAAAATATTTGGAAATCCAGAAATACGCTCCTTTAGAACAGAGAACGGAATGTTTAAAGGAAACAAAGAATTTTACTAATTATGAAATAAATCATCTTATAATCTTACCATTTATGGTGTTGTATAAAATAAGTAGAGATCTGCAAACCTGGTTTAAATTCTCTACACCAGAAAAAAAATGATTTTAATGAATTTGAATTTCCTTTCGTTAAGTACTCTCTATTAGATTGTAGATTTATTTATTAATTTATTTTATTTTATTGAACCTATCGTCGACACTTGGTCACTGCCAGATTACAAATGATTTTGGCTGTTTTAATCAAATTTGTAGATGCAAAGTAACCAAATACGTGATTCATATTATAACTCCGGAAAAGATCTTAATTCAACAACTAGCTATATCAAGTATTCTTTAGGTAAGGAATTTTTTTTTTTTTTACTAAATTGTGGGTTTTTAATCCATCAATCCCTTCTAA